TCTGCTCCTGCTGCTGTCAGACTGTACAATGAGAACCGCTGAGTCAGTACCATAGACTGGACATATAAACGGATGTAGTCACGCCCATCTTCGCCGTTGAAACTAAACTAAGCCTTCTGTGGGCTTTTTCAAAACAGCAGCGGGGCAGGATAATGTGAAAAAACTCATCTGTGCATGCGTTAAAAAGTGAATTTAAAAGTCCACAGAGGTTAAACTAGACAGGTGAAAAAAAAGAGCAGGCTGTAGAACGAGGACTGACGTAGCCTACTTTTTTCTTGAAGTCAAACCTAATTAGCGTGACGTTTTGACGACTCCACTCCAATCTTCGCCATCCCAAAAGATGAACTATGGGTTGATAATGAACGTGAAATCCGTTGAATAATCCAACACTTTTGATCTCCACATTTCTGAGAATAAATCTGTCTCTTTTTGCCAGTCACCACTTCTCTTGATTGACTTTTTTCCCCAAACAAAGATTTTCAATTTGGCATTAACGCGAGCTGTAATTGTATCACAGTGCTAAAAGCAGCAGATGTGGGTTGAAAACTGTAGCTGCCTGCATCCTTCCTCCGCCGCAGAGAGACGCATTGTTTATGGGGGTCTCGCTAATGAAAAACCAACACAAAATGGCGTCATTATGATCTGTCAAATGCCAATTAGAGGTAATACAGCTCGCGGTCTGTGGAGCGAAGATACAGATGAATGCGTTTACGTTCCTCTGGATGCGATTCTCGATGTGGGAGGAGGCTGGCAGTGTGGTGACCGGTTAAACGCCTGTGATGAGTGTGACATGGAAAAGCCTATGGGAGCGATCGTGTCTGCCAGGATCATTTATCATGTGCTGAAACGGTGAGATCGGTTGCTAATGACAACGAGCCGTGTATTAAAAAACGTGAGGCTCTGGCGAAATGTCAAAGGATCAAGTGATAATAACATCGTTTGAATGTTGATGAGCGAGCAAAGGTGATTACAAAACGTGTGTTATGTGCTAAAGGACGAGACCGTTGAGTGGCTGGGTGCTCACTGAGAGACAGGGGGAGGAGCTCGGAGTAGAGCCACTGTTTCTCCTTGTTTAGAGGAGCCAGTGGAGGAGGCTCTGAAAGGAGGCATCCTGGACGCATCTCTGGTGAGGTGTCCTGGGAATGTCCCACTGGGAGGAGGCCAGGACAAGACCCAGGACTGTTTCTCTCAGTAGGCCTGGGAACGCCTCAGGATTCCCCCGGATGAGCTTGAGGGAGTGTGTGGAGAGGGACGTCTGGGCGTCTCTGCTTAGACTGCTGCCTTCACAACCCGGCAACTGATAAAGTGGAAGGACTACGGCTTTATTTCAGCTTTTCATTGTAATCTTTTGAATCAACCTGTCCTTTTGTAAAGCACACTTAGGTACCAGCTCGGCCTTGATTTGACCAGAGGGACTTAGAAGTGCCCATGGTACCAGTTAAACAGGACCAGCACAGCTCCCACAGAGTCCACACTTCTCCCCATCACAGAGACACATTTCCTGATCAGGCTGTCGAGCCGGTTACTGTCTCTGAGGTCAGACTGCCCCCAACACACAACCCCGAAGAACACAAACATAGTAGCTCTCTCTCCGTTTCTCTGTCTCTCTCTTGGTGTCTCTGTGTGTGTGTCTCTCTCTCTGTGTATCTTTCTCTCTCTGTTTCTCAGTCTCTCTGTGTCTCTTTCTCTCCTCTCTCTTTCTCTCTGTGTGTGTCTCTCTCTCTTTCTCTCTCTGTGTGTGCGTCTCTTTCTCTCCTCTCTCTCTTTCTCTCTCTGTGTGTGTGTGTCTTTTTCTCTCCTCTCTCTCTTTCTCTCTGTGTGTGTCTCTCTCTCTTTCTCTCTCTGTGTGTGTGTCTCTTGCTCTCCTCTCTCTTTCTCTCTGTGTGTGTGTCTCTCTCTTTCTCTCTCTGTGTGTGTGTCTCTTTCTCTCCTCTCTCTCTTTCTCTGTGTGTGTGTGTGTCTCTTTCTCTCCTCTCTCTTTCTCTCTGTGTGTGTCTCTCTCTCTTTCTCTGTGTGTGTGTGTGTCTCTTTCTCTCCTCTCTCTCTTTCTCTCTGTGTGTGTGTCTCTCTCTTTCTCTCTCTGTGTGTGTGTCTCTTTCTCTCCTCTCTTTCTCTCGGTGTGTGTGTCTCTCTCTTTCTCTCTCTGTGTGTGTCTCTCTCTCTTTCTCTGTGTGTGTGTGTGTCTCTTTCTCTCCTCTCTCTCTCTTTCTCTCTGTGTGTGTGTCTCTCTCTTTCTCTCTGTGTGTGTGTGTCTCTTTCTCTCCTCTCTCTTTCTCTGTGTGTGTGTGTCTCTCTCTTTCTCTCTCTGTGCGTGTGTCTCTTTCTCTCCTCTCTCTTTCTCTCTGTGTGTGTCTCTCTCTCTTTCTCTCCTCTCTCTTTCTCTCCTCTCTCTCTTTCTCTCTGTGTGTGTGTCTCTCTCTTTCTCTCTCTGTGTGTGTGTCTCTTTCTCTCCTCTCTCTTTCTCTCTGTGTGTGTCTCTCTCTCTTTCTCTCCTCTCTCTTTCTCTCTGTGTGTGTGTCTCTCTCTTTCTCTCTCTGTGTGTGTGTCTCTTTCTCTCCTCTCTCTTTCTCTCTGTGTGTGTGTCTCTCTCTTTCTCTCCTCTCTCTCTTTCTCTCTGTGTGTCTCTTTCTCTCATCTTTTTCTGTGTGTGTCTCTCTCTTTCGCTCTGTGTCCCTCTCTCTCCCTCTTCCTCCCTCTCTACAAAGCTCTCTCCGCTGCTTTTTTTCCGTAGACGCGACCACACGACCGATCTTCTGCTAACCCTCAGACAAAGTCATTAGTGTGATCTCATGTGAGGCTGAGCGTGCTAATTCTCCCCTCGCTCCGAGCGCAGCAGCTGGAGGCCTCCGTTTAATAATGGTTGACGTCCGGATCGCCCTGGAACCAGCCTCCATCGCCGCCTCAGACCTGTGCGCTCCACTGCCCACCCATCCACTCATCTACGCGGGCGCCAGATCCTAACGCACACCCTGCCCCCCCGCACAGCTTCGCGCTCACTGCTAATGCTAAAACTCCTCCAAACGCCAATTACCTCAAAGATTCATGGCGAGAGTTTGGCGAGCCAGGCTGTTCCATCCACCACCTCCCTCTGGTTTTGAGATTAACAGATTTTTTATTCATGTCGCACAGTGGAGAAATGTCAGTGTTGCATCACGTTACAGGACGGTAGGAATGAGGAGCACACAACACAGGATAAATGAACAATCACTTTAGCATTATAAAGAAAGAAGTGTCAGAACTTTAGTATGGTTAGGGGCGACAGTGGCTCAGTTGGTAGAGCATTGGCCTTTGAGCCTGAAGGTCGTGGGTTCTAGCCCCACAAGAGGGCCTTAGTGGGGCGGCTGCGGCAGTAAAGTTCTTAGGCGAGACACTTCACCCCCATTGCCTAGAATGAGTCTGGTGTGTGTGTGAATGGTTGGTGGTGGTCGAAGGGGCTGATGGCACATACTGGTTGCCTCGCTTCTGTCAGTGTGCCCCAGGGCAGCTGTGGCTACTGTTGTAGTTTATCACCACCGTGTATGGAGTGAATGAATAATGACATGTAAAGCGTATAAGATCTCAGTAATTTGAAGAAGCAAGTATAACATCTCTATCTTTACCATCATAAAGACATACGTAAAAAATCTTTAACTTTAGCATAATACAAAAGCGAAAATAAAATCTCTGGTTGTCGCATAATAAAGAAGCAAGTTTTAAATCTTTAACTTTAGCATTTTAAAGAAACAAGTATAACATGGGTCGCTTTTGCATAAAGATGCCAGTAAACAATTGCTAACTGAAGCATATTAAAGTAGCAAGTATAAAAAATTTCACTGTAGCATAAGAAACAAGTCAGGATAAAATCTATAGCTTTAGCAGAATGAAGGACTAAGTGTAAAATAGTACTGTATATTCTAGTGCCATAGATAGATAGTTTATGTTTACATCTGTACATGTTAGCTTATGTTTAGTGACAGGGTACACATGTGGTTCTATATCACACATTATGACATTGTTTAAATTATTGCACTGATACACGACATCAGGTTTCAGGTCGGTAGTGTTTGATTTTCTCATTTACGTTGTCGGCCGAAGTAATGCCTCCACCGCAGCAGCCGAACGAGGTGGGAATGTAACACGTAATAATAATGGAGAGATTGGGGTCAGGTGAAAACGCTTGGAGCAATTTAACAGATGCTAGAAAAGTCTTGCGCTGGAAATGGGAGACGCAAATGATTATTATTGTGTCTATGAAGTGATTATGGGTCACGAGAACTTGTACAATTGAGGTAAACACTGGAGTTAAAGTGTAAAATGAGCTTAATAGTGGAATCGCCTGAGGGTTTTAGAAATATAGAGAGCAGACGGTGAAGAGGGAAGAGCGCTTCAGAGAGGAGCCACAAGAATATTCTATTACCAGGATTCTTCATTGCATTTATACGATGTACCCATTGACAATTGACTGAAAGAATATACCTTATTATATGGTGCCACCTGAATAAGACAGCCAGATTCTGTCAGTACTATGAAGCTAAGCAGGACAGGGCCTGGTTAGTACTGTGATGGGAGACCTCTGGAAACATCAGGTGCCAAAGTGGGGCGGCGGTAAAGTGCCAAATTGTTGTTGTATCCATAAATGAGGACAATTGTCTACAGTGGCGCAGTGGTAAGGGCTTATGCTTTGCAATCAGAAGTAGGGTTGCAACAACGAATCGATAACAATCAAATATTAAAAGCGTTGGCAATGAATTTGGTTATTGATTCGTTGTGTCGCGCGATTAATACGTCACCGAGCGCGCGAGTTGGGCGCATTCTTGTAGTTCTATGGTTGAGTGGACGGAAGCACATGCACCACAGAACAACACTGCATGCACACTGCCGTAAAACGAAGAGCAGAGTGTGGCGAAGGTGGTCATTTTTAATACAGTCTATGGTGGAGGCATTCATTTGAGCAAGACCGCGTTGAGCCAGTGCAGAATAGCGAAGCGAAGGAAGCGTGCGAGTGTTGTTCCGCACTAACTTTAGACACTTTGCACAGAGTCAGTGGGAACAGTGTTTCTCAGGGTCAGGGCTGTCATTGGGAGGTTCGGAGACAGGTTAGATTTGCGGAGAACAAGCCGCAGAGGGCAGGGGAGAGGAGAGAGAGGGCAGGGGAGAGAAGAGAGAGGGCAGGGGAGAGGAGAGAGAGGGCAGGGGAGAGGAGAGAGAGGGCAGGGGAGAGGAGAGAGAGCAGGGGAGAGGAGAGAGAGGGCAGGGGAGAGGAGAGAGAGGGCAGGGGAGAGGAGAGAGAGCAGGGGAGAGGAGAGAGAGCAGGGGAGAGGAGAGAGAGCAGGGGAGACGAGAGAGAGGGCAGGGGAGAGGAGAGAGAGCAGGGGAGAGGAGAGAGAGCAGGGGAGACGAGAGAGAGGGCAGGGGAGAGGAGAGAGAGAGCGGGGGAGATGAGAGAGAGCGCGGGGGAGACGAGAGAGAGGGCAGGGGAGATGAGAGAGAGCGGGGGAGACGAGAGAGAGCGCGGGGGAGACGAGAGAGAGGGCAGGGGAGAGGAGAGAGAGGGCAGGGGAGAGGAGAGAGAGGGCAGGGGAGAGGAGAGAGAGGGCAGGGGAGAGGAGAGAGAGGGCAGGGGAGAGGAGAGAGAGGGCAGGGGAGGGGAGAGAGAGCAGGGGAGAGGAGAGAGAGGGAAGGGGAGACGAGAGAGAGGGCAGGGGAGAGGAGAGAGAGCAGGGGAGACGAGAGAGAGGGCAGGGGAGAGGAGAGAGAGAGCGGGGGAGATGAGAGAGAGCGCGGGGGAGACGAGAGAGAGGGCAGGGGAGATGAGAGAGAGCGGGGGAGACGAGAGAGAGCGCGGGGGAGACGAGAGAGAGGGCAGGGGAGAGGAGAGAGAGGGCAGGGGAGAGGAGAGAGAGGGCAGGGGAGAGAGAGAGAGGGCAGGGGAGACGAGAGAGAGGGCAGGGGAGAGGAGAGAGAGGGCAGGGGAGAGGAGAGAGAGGGCAGGGGAGGGGAGAGAGAGCAGGGGAGAGGAGAGAGAGCAGGGGAGACGAGAGAGAGGGCAGGGGAGAGGAGAGAGAGCAGGGGAGAGGAGAGAGAGCAGGGGAGACGAGAGAGAGGGCAGGGGAGAGGAGAGAGAGCAGGGGAGAGGAGAGAGAGCAGGGGAGACGAGAGAGAGGGCAGGGGAGAGGAGAGAGAGAGCGGGGGGAGATGAGAGAGAGCGCGGGGGAGACGAGAGAGAGGGCAGGGGAGATGAGAGAGAGCGGGGGAGACGAGAGAGAGCGCGGGGGAGACGAGAGAGAGGGCAGGGGAGAGGAGAGAGAGGGCAGGGGAGAGGAGAGAGAGGGCAGGGGAGAGGAGAGAGAGGGCAGGGGAGAGGAGAGAGAGGGCAGGGGAGGGGAGAGAGAGCAGGGGAGAGGAGAGAGAGGGAAGGGGAGAGGAGAGAGAGCAGGGGAGAGGAGAGAGAGGGCAGGGGAGAGGAGAGAGAGCAGGGGAGACGAGAGAGAGGGCGGGGGAGACGAGAGAGAGAGCGGGGGAGACGAGAGAGAGAGCGGGGGAGATGAGAGAGAGAGCAGGGGAGACGAGAGAGAGCGCGGGGGAGACGAGAGAGAGGGCAGGGGAGATGAGAGAGAGCGGGGGAGATGAGAGAGAGCGGGGGAGAGGAGAGAGAGCGGGGGAGACGAGAGAGAGAGCGGGGGAGATGAGAGAGAGAGCAGGGGAGACGAGAGAGAGCGCGGGGGAGACGAGAGAGAGAGCGGGGGAGACGAGAGAGACTGCGAGGGAGACGAGAGGGAGCGGGGGAGACGAGAGAGAGAGCAGGGCAGACACATTTTATGAAAATTCTAAAATCCACAATTTCCAACGCCATATGACGTCATAATATGCTAATTAGATGGGTACACTTATTCCCTACATAAAACTTTTGGCCATCCTTAAGATAAGATAAGATAAGCTTTATTTATCTCACAGAGGATAAATGTACATGTCACATTTGGCATGGATAGAAACACTCAGATTGTGCAAAAGGAGGAAATGTGCAAACATGTTACATGCAGGATATATATGTACAATAAAAGTGACAATAATTATGTACAACAAAAGTGACAAGTGTCAATTGGAAACAGTGTCAATAGCAGTGCAGGTTTTCACACAGTGATCATTTAAAGTGACTTATTGTACAGTCTGACAGCGGTGGGGATAAAGGCCCTGCGGTAGCGCTCCTTCCTACACTGAGGGTGCCTCAGTCTTCCACTGAAGGAGCTCCTCAGCTCCTCTACAGTCCTGTGCAGTGGGTGGGAGGTGTTGTCCATGATGGAGGTGGCTTTGGCTAGCACCCTCCTGTCCCTCACCTCCTCCACAGAGTCCAGGGAGCAGCCCAGAGTGGAGCTGGCCTTCCTGACCAGCTTGTTCAGTCTGTTTCTGTCCCGCTCTGTGCTGCCCGGGGCCCAGCACACGGCAGCGTAGTAAATGGCAGAAGCTACCACAGAGTCATAAAAAGTCCTGAGCAGAGGCCTGCTCACTCCGAAGGACCTCAGCCTCCTCAGAAGGAAGAGGCAACTTTGGCCCTTCTTGTGCAGGGCGTTTGTATTATGGGACCAGTCCAGTTTATTGTTAATGTGAACACCCAGGTACTTGAAGCTGTCCACCAGCTCAATGTCCTCCCCCTGGATGTTCAGCAGTGTGTGGGAAAGTGGTTTTCTCCTGAAGTCGATGATCATCTCCTTGGTCTTACTGGTGTTCAAGCACAAGTGGTTGCACTCACAGCAGTCGACAAAGTCCTTGATAACCGACCGATATTCCAGTTCGTTCCCCTCAGGCACACAGCCCACGATGGCGGAGTTGTCGGAGAACTTCTGCAGGTGACAGCTGTGTGTGTCGTGTGTGAAGTCTGAGGTGTAGATGGTGAAGAGAAACGGTGAGAGGACAGTGCCCTGAGGGGCCCCAGTGCTGCAGACTAGCACCTCAGACTCACAGCTGCGCAGCCGCACGTACTGTGGTCGGTCTGAGAGGTAGATGATGGTCCATGCAGTAAGGCTGCTGTCCACTCCCGCGTCCTCCATCTTCCCCTGCAGCAGTGCCGGCCTGATTATTGTATTATTGTATTGAAAGCGCTGGAGAAGTCAAAAAACATGACCCTCACAGCGCTCCCGGCGGGCTCCAGGTGGGAGAGCGTCCGCTGCAGGAAGTAGATGACGGCGTCCTCTACTCCGATGTTGGGTCTGTAGGCGAACTGCAGCGGGTCCAGGGTGGGGCTGACCACGGAGCGGAGATGGGTGAGGATGAGCCGCTCCATGGTCTTCATCAGGTGGGAGGTCAGTGCGACTGGTCTGTAGTGAGCCGGTTCCTTGGTGTGTGCTGTTTTTGGAACCGGGATCACACAGGAGGTCTTCCACAGGACAGGGACCTTCTCCAGGCTGAGGCTCAGGTTGTACATGTAGCTGAGGACCCCAGAGAGCTGGTCTGCACAGGTCCTCAGCAGCCTGGGACTGATCCCGTCCGGTCCTGCGGATTTCCTCAGCTTCAGGAGCTGGAGCTGACTCCTCACCTGGTCCGGTGTGTTGGAGAGGGGGGGGGGGCCCGGGGTAAGTAAGTAAGTAAGTAAGTAAGTCATTATTTATATACCGCCTTTTCACTGCAGAGCTGAGTCTCAAAGCGGTTTACAATTGTTATTTTTTATTTTTTTTGGGCACTTGTCTCTCACTCCACACAGAGATGGGAGCGGGGTCACCAGTACAGGAGGCGCATTTTACATATTTTTAGCGGTAGGGGAAACCGGAGTACCCGGAGGAAACCTACGCAGACACGGGGAGAACATGCAAACTCCACTCAGGCCCTGGTCCGACCGGGATTCGAACCCAGGACCTTCTTGCTGAGAGGCGAGAGTGCTATCCACTCAGCCACCGTGCCGGGGTGTACTGTCCGAGGTGGGGGCTGGGGATGCGGGGGCAGGAGGGCCAGGGGCAGCCGGAGGCAGTGTCCACTGGGCGGTGTCCACTGGGCTGGGGACGTGTGAAGAGGTGGGGGCGGGAGGGGGGGCAGATGGAGAGGGGGGAGAATCAAACCCGTTGAAGTAATGGTTAAATTCATCCGCCCGGTGCTGGTCTCCATCCGCTGTTCCTCTGGCACTCTGTCCAAAGCCGGAGATGTTAATAATTCTGTAGTTTACAGAAAGTCTTTATCTCCTATCACTTTTAAGTTACAGCCTTTTGAAATAAGAATTTCAAAAGTTTTTGAGTATATGCACTCAACAACGTACAATTACCCTAAAAATGACTAATTACACAAACTTGTCTTGTCTGTAATTGCTCTTTGGGTTAAACAACAAAACCTGTTTTTGTGCACTTTTCTTTATACTGCATAGCATACATTTGTATGTTTCTTTGTGTTGATCCAAGGCCACGTTTTTTTAATAACGGGATGGAAACTAAAAATGCTTTTTTTATCCGATTAATCGAAGAAATAATCGACAGATTAATCGATTATTAAAATAATCGTTAGTTGCAGCTCTAATCAGAAGGTTCTGCGTTAAAGCTGCACTAACTGACTTTATTTTTGTATTAATTACTAAAATGCTATCCATGTCCGTGTAGGGCATTGGGATATACGTCCTTTTGAAGAAAAAGTAGCGCAGATTTGTGCTGGCGTGACATTATATTTTAGATCGAGTTTTGATGAAACAAGGAAGAGAATGTGTTTCGGGTCGCAGATTGTGACCAATCACAGCGGACCACTAGCCCCCACTTTCGTGAGAAATCTACAGGTCCGTTAGCATAGACGGCTGAGTTAGCACAACAAGCCGAGGAGCTAACCTGAAGCTTCCTCGTCTTCGTCACCGGTTACTGCTTACACAGCGAGACAGCCATCCAAAAGAAAGTCTCGTTCCTCCGCGCTTCCCAGTTCTATCGTTCTATGGTCACACCATCCACGTGCAAATCCATATCCATGTATTATCCATATTGGGAGACGCAGCTCCGTCCCAACAGTGGGTGTGTGTGGGGGGCGATAGCTTCGTGGGTGCGGGGAGGGGAGCAGAAAGAGAGAGGCCAGCGAGTCCGCTGCTTCAAAATTCCAAAGTCAGTTAGTGAAGCTTTAAGTTAGCATGTCCTCCCAATGTCTGCATAGGTTTCCTCCAGGTGCTCTGGTTTCTGAGTGATGGTCAGGGCCTTTGATGCACATTTTTGGAGAGGCCAATGACACAGATTGTGGCACACTTACCTTTATATCAGTCTACCGCAGGGCAGCTGTAGCTACAGTAATGTATCACCACCGTGTAAGGAATGGATGACTGATGCCAGGTCGAGTGTCTTTAACTGTCCACTTGGTCTCATGTGTTGCTAGATGTTATTCCCTGTCCACCACTGTATTGAAACCACAGACTGTAAATATTAACAGACATAGTCAAGCTTTTCTCTGCCGTTGAAACAAATGTTCCACCACTTTTGCGTTCTGTTTTAGTTTTCAAAATAGCCTCGTGGCAGGAAAATGTGAAAAACGCATTTGTGCGTGTATTAGCAGTATGAGCCCCATTCATTTTACAGGTGCATTCAAAAGTCCACAGTGGCTAATAAAAATTATTCCACTCGGCATTGTCAGCATCTGGAAAGTAGCGTTATGCCAAGAGCGAACTGTTGGATCATCCTGTAAAGCTGTTTTGCAGAGAGAAGAAGCCGTTAAAAGCATTGGTTAAATTCTCTCTCCGGGTACACCCCACCGGCCAGAAGTGAGATTGCATGTCAGGGCACGTGCTCATGGACTTTTTGGAGCCGGGACTTGCCCCACTGATTGAATCCACAGCTCAGAAACTGTTTTTGTCACATAGTTCATAGAAAAGCCAATGATGCAGCGATAAGTAATGTGATTAGCGTGTTACAAATATAAAAGTACATATTTCAATCTGGAGAGACTACAAGAGACACAGTACGTTAAAAGATTTATTGATTCCAAGTTTGCTTTTTTGGGGAGGAGGTGATCGCAGCTTGACAGGCTGTTTGGTGTGTGGTGTCCTGCTCTTAAGCGCTGGCTTGACTGGCAGGGAGTGGATGAAAGGCGGAGGAAGGAAGGGACCTGCCTGGTGTGTGGATAGTCTACCAGTCTGAAGTTACGCTCACGCCGCATATTTGAAGTTTACAAGCACTGCTGGAGAAACAGCATTTGCAATATGTGTAAGTTTGTTGCCAATCTGATAAAATAAACTTTAAGAATCCTTACTTATAAAATCTTTGTGTAAATACCTCAGATACATAGTTTTTTGATTTTCTGTATAGACATGACAGTGATTTTTCTCCTAACTTTTTCTTCTGCTTGACACCGGAAGCTAAAGAACAGTCTGTGACCCACTTCTAATAGTAATGAGAACATGAGGAATGTTTTTGTGCTGCATCTTTCAGTATTACAGCGGGATGGTTGCGGCTTAAAGTCCGGAAAATAGGTTTTCTGCACGTGCTGAGGACATGATGCAATATGATGACCTTCATGTACTATAATCTCTTACCTAAACTGTCTTCTTGCACTGAAACCTTCTCTAATCAAACACTCATATTATATTACACATTAAAATCTCGTGTTGTCTCTCTTCCTGGCATCGGAGAATATTTTTATTGCCCTTCCTGGTTCCACTGTGCTATTTTAACCGCACTTTTCAGGCGATCCCATCTCACTTCCGGGGCTCTTTTTTCACATTTCCTGCCCCCATCTGTGCTCCTATCTCTCCTTTCTCCGGCCTTCCTTCCTTTCAGTTTATATTTCTTTGTTTTCCCCCAGAATTATCACAAAAGAGAGTATTGACCGCTGTTTGAAGAGCTGGCTTTGATTCATAGCCTCGTGCACTGCG